ATTTTATGGCTGGTACTCTGGTTTTTATGTGATGGAGATTGTTTTAAGTTGAATGAGGCATACAACTTTGGAATTTTGTATGAGGGTTGTTGTGCATGACTCAGTTGAGTATTGACTGATACAGCTCAGTGTCTGTGCTGTGCATGACTCAGTTGAGTATTGACTGATACAGCTCAGTGTCTGTGCTGTGCATGACTCAGTTGAGTATTGATAACTTAATGTATGTCTGTGCTGTGCATGACAAGTCAGTGATTGAGCTATACAGTCAGTGTCTACCTAGCTTGAATCCAGTTAGATAATTGATGAACGCTAGTACTGTTGCCATGGACCATAAAGAATGTAACTGATACAGTCCAGTACATTGTGTCGTAGTTGAGGTCAACTGTACTGTCATGTTTCGTTTGCTTGTGCAACTCGTTGAGTAATTGACTGAACACTCAGGTTCCGATGGTGCATATTCAGCCTAGTTTGAGGGGAAACTTGCATACTTTAATTGTATAAGTTTGTCAAGTTAACAAGACAGAGACCTTAGCTAGCATGCGCATCACAAGTTAAATTCATAACAATACATTCAACTGTCACACGAGTAGCCTGGTACGCTAGAACAACTACTGTATTCGTTCTCAGGTACAGAATGTGATATCGTGACAGTACCATGTACTCTAGGACTTTAGTATTCGTCTCTTTCACCTCGTATGTGTAACATGAAGCTAACTTAGGTACCGGCACTAAAGCCTAGTTGTGTTTGGCGGACAGTCCATCATTAATTCTGATGTAAGAACTTAACCACAACGAGAGACAAGGCTACTGGCCCATCTGCAGGCCAAGTTTTACTAGGATACACAGTACTGTCACCTGAGGGCACAGTACTGTTCATCTCTAGGACACAGTACTGTCAACTCTAGGGCACAGTACTGTGTCATCTCGAGGACACAGTACCATGTCACCTCTAGGACACAGTACTGCGTCATCTCTAGGACACAGTACTGTGTCACATCTAGGACACAGTACCGTGTCACCTCTAGGACACAGTACTGCGTCATCTCGAGGACACAGTACCGCATCATCTCGAGGACACAGTACCGCATCATCTCGAGGACACAGTACCGCATCATCTCGAGGACAGTACTGTGTCACCTCTAGGACACAGTACTGCGTCATCTCGAGGACACAGTACCGCATCATCTCGAGGACACAGTACCGCATCATATCGAGGACACAGTACCGCGTCATCTCAAGGACACAGTACTGTCACCTCTAGGACACAGTACCGCGTCATCTCAAGGACACAGTACTGTCACCTCTAGGACACAGTACTGTGTCATCTCAAGGAGAGAGCAGCCACAATCATTGATGTCACTAACTGCAGTTCACTATCACCCTGAAGGCTGGTAGACATATACTTGTATATATATTGGTAGAATTACCGACAATATGTAAAGTAAAAGGACACGAATATAACTAATGTGACATTTTGTTGTGGCAACGTTTTGCTCTCCAGCTTGATAAAGTTCCTGGAGAGCAAAACGTTGCCACAATAAAACGTCACATTAGTTGCACTTGTGTCCTTTTACTTTACAGATATATATATGTATTGATGGTGTATATGTTGATATATTACGATACCTGCCTTAGTTATGTGTATAAGTATGTTAATACAGTAGTATGGGGTGCTCAAGCTGGTAAGTCGAGCAGTGGCAGGTGTTGTGTAGCTGGGGTAGTGTGGCCGGGGTAGTGTGGCTGGGGTAGTGTGGCCGGGTAGTGGGCCGGGTAGTTGTATATTACAATACCTGCCTTAGTTATGTTATAGTATGTTAATACAAGTATGGGTGCTCAAGCGGTAAGTCGAGCATGGCAGTGTTGTGTAGCTGGGTAGTGTGGCCGGGTAAGTTGGCTGGGTAGTGTGCTGGGGTATGTGCAGTTTGTGTGCTGGGTAGTGTGGCTGTGGGTATAGTGGTCCATAGGTAGTGTGGCCGGTGTAGGTGGCAGGTGTTGTGTGGCTGGGGTAGTGTGGCTGGGTATTGTGGCTGGGGTAGTGTGGCCGGGGTTTTGTGGCTGGAGTAGTGATACCAAGTATGTTCCAGTATGTGTCCGTGTATGTGGACAGGTGTTGGGTGTAGCCTGGTAAGTGGCCGGGGTTTTGTGGCTGGAGTAGTGTGGCCGAGGTTGTGTTGCCAGGGTTGTGTGGCTGGGGTAGTGTGGCAGGTGTTGTGTAGCCGGGGTAGTGTGGCTGGGGTTTTGTGGCTGGGGTAGTGTGGCTGGGGTTTTGTGGCCAGGGTACTGTGGATGGGGTTGTGTGGCCGGGGTTGTGTCGCCGTGGTAGTGTGGCTGGGGTTTTGTGGCTGGAGTAGTGTGACCGAGGTTGTGTTGCCAGGGTTGTGTGGCTGGGGTAGTGTGGCCAGGGTACTGTGGATGGGATTGTGTGGCCGGGGTTGTGTCGCCGTGGTAGTGTGGCCGGGGTTTTGTGGCTGGAATAGTGTGGCCGGGGTAATGTGGCCAGGGTACTGTGGCTGGGGTTGTGTCACCAGGGTTGTGTGGCTGTGGTAGTGTGGCTGGGGTAGTGTGGCCAGAGTAGTGTGGCTGGGGTTGTCACCAGGGTTGTGTGGCTGGGGTAGTGTGGCCAGAGTAGTGTGGCCAGGGTAGTGTGGCCAGGGTAGTGTGGCTGGGGTTTGTGGCAGGTAGTGTGGCCGGGTAGTGTGCCAGGGTAGTGTGGCGGGGTAGTGTGGCCAGGGTATGTGTGGCCAGGGTAGTGTGGCCAGGGTAGTGTGGCCAGGGTAGTGTGGCCAGGGTGTATGTGGCCGGGTAGTGTGGCCGGTTGGTAGTGTGGCCAGGGTAGTGTGGCCAGGGTAGTGTGGCCAGGGTAGTGTGGCCAGGGTAGTGTGGCCAGGGTAGTGTGGCCAGGGTAGTGTGGCCAGGGTAGTGTGGCCAGGGTAGTGTGGCCAGGGTAGTGGGGTAGTGGCCAGGGTAGTGTGGCCAGGGTAGTGTGGCCGGGTAGTGTGGCCAGGGTAGTGTGGCCAGGGTAGTGTGGCCAGGTGGGGTAGTAGTGTGCCAGGGTAGTGTGGCCAGGGTAGTGTGGCCAGGGTAGTGTGGCCAGGGTAGTGTGGCCAGGGTAGTGTGGCCGGGGTAGTGTGGCCAGGTAGTGTGTGGCCAGGGTAGTGTGGCCAGGTAGTGTGGCCAGGGTAGTGTGGCCGGGGTAGTGTGGCCAGGGTAGTGTGGCCAGGGTAGTGTGGCCAGGGTAGTGTGGCCAGGGTAGTGTGGCCAGGGTAGTGTGGCCAGGGTAGTGTGGCCAGGGTAGTGTGGCCAGGGTGGGGTGTGTGGCCGGTGGTGAGTGTGGCCAGGGTAGTGTGGCCAGGGTAGTGTGTGTGGCCAGGGTAGTGTGGCCAGGGTAGTGTGGCCAGGGTAGTGTGGCCAGGGTCAGTGTGGCCAGGGTAGTGTGGCCAGGGTAGTGTGGCCAGGGTAGTGTGGCCAGGGTAGTGTGGCCAGGGTAGTGTGGCCAGGGTAGTGTGGCCGGGTAGTGTGGCCAGGGTAGTGTGGCCAGGGTAGTGTGGCCAGGGTAGTGTGGCCAGGGTAGTGTGGCCAGGGTAGTGTGGCCAGGGTAGTGTGGCCAGGGTAGTGTGGCCAGGGTAGTGTGGCCAGGGTAGTGTGGCCAGGGTAGTAGTGTGCCAGGGTAGTGTGGCCGGGTAGTGTGGCCGGGGTAGTGTGGCCGGGTAGTGTGGCCGGGGTAGTGTGGCCGGGGTAGTGTGGCCGGGGTAGTGTGTGTGGCCAGGGTAGTGTGGCCAGGGTAGTGTGGCCAGGGTAGTGTGGCCAGGGTAGTGTGGCCAGGGTAGTGTGGCCAGGGTAGTGTGGCCAGGGTAGTGTGGCCAGGGTAGGTGTGGGCCAGGGTAGTGTGGCCAGGGTAGTGTGGCCAGGGTAGTGTGGCCAGGGTAGTGTGGCCAGGGTAGTGTGGCCAGGGTAGTGTGGCCGGGGTAGTGTGGCCGGGGTAGTGTGGCCGGGGTAGTGTGGCCAGGGTAGTGTGGCCAGGGTAGTGTGGCCAGGGTAGTGTGGCCGGGGTAGTGTGGCCGGGGTAGTGTGGCCGGGGTAGTGTGGCCAGGGTAGTGTGGCCAGGGTAGTGTGGCCAGGGTAGTGTGGCCAGGGTAGTGTGGCCAGGGTAGTGTATATACAAACACTACCACTGAAACAATAGTGAAATAGCAAATTCTTTCATGATTTCTTAAACTATTGTAGAAAGGTATTGCATGAGTGATGGTAAATGTGTTTTTCTTGTTTAGTCCGCCTTACCTTGGTAAGGCGGAGTGTGTAAAAGTCCGCCTTACCTTGGTAAGGCGGAGTGTGTAAAAGTCCGCCTTACCTTGGTAAGGCAGAGTGTGTAAAAGTCCACCTTACCTTGGTAAGGCGGAGTGTGTAAAAGTCCGCCTTACCTTGGTAAGGCGGAGTGTGTAAAAGTCCACCTTACCTTGGTAAGGCAGAGTGTGTAAATAAACATTAAGTGCGATAACAACTGTTAATGAACAAACAGAAGAGTGGAGGAGAGACTTGAACCATGGGCCCAGCCCCTAGGCTTGAACCATGGCCCTAGCCCCTTGGCTTGAACCATGGGCCTAGCCCCTAGGCTTGAACCATGGCCCTAGCCCCTAGGCTTGAACCATGGGCCTAGCCCCTAGGCTTGAACCATGGGCCTAGCCCCTAGGCTTGAACCATGGGCCTAGCCCCTAGACTGAACCATGGGCCCAGCCCCTTGGCTTGAACCATAGGCCCAGCCCCTAGACTTGAACCATGGGCCCAGCCCCTTGGCTTGAACCATGGGCCCATATTGAACCATAGGCCCAGCCCCTAGACTTGAACCATGGGCCTAGCCCCTAGGCTTGAACCATGGGCCTAGCCCCTTGGCTTGAACCATGGGCCTAGCCCATAGGCTTGAACCATGAGCCTAGCCCCTCCTCCACACTTCCCTTGATTCATATAATGTTCTGAAGTGTACTGATACGTAATTTTTTTTACAGACTATCATAAATGTAGTGATCAGCAGACAAGCTCCTGGACCTCGACTGTACGAGGGAATGTTTGCTGTTAGACTACACAACACTATTACCAGGGAAGTGCACTGGTTACACCAGGACCTGACCATGTACCAGGTAAGTGCACTGGTTACACCAGGACCTGACCATGTACCAGGTAAGTGCACTGGTTACACCAGGACCTGACCATGTACCAGGTAAGTGCACTGGTTACACCAGGACCTGACCATGTACCAGGTAAGTGCACTGGTTACACCAGGGCCTGACCATGTACCAGGTAAATACCTGCCTCACCCTCCTCACTACTCACCCTCCTTATCCTTCTATTTTTTCCTCCTCCTTCAGGTGTTGTTAGTATACCTTTGAAGACTTTCGAGAACGTTCCTAATCTTACAGTGCAGCCTTTTAAATAGTCTTGGTACCTTCTACTTATGCATGAAGGTAGGCTGTTGAATAACCTTGATTCCTTTTATATTTGTTAACATAAGAATGGAGGAACACTGCAGAAGGCCTACTGGCCCATGCGAGGCAGGTCCTTATCAAAACGACCTCTACCTAAAGCTACCCAAGAAATAACTCCCGTACCCAATGACACCAATCAAACCCAGCCCCTCCCACTCGTATATTTGTCCAGTCTCTTCTTAAAGCTACCCAAGGTCCTAGCCTCTATCACCCTACTGGGAAGATTGTTCCATGCATCCAGAACTGTTAGAAAACCAGTACTTACCTTTGTCCTTTCTAAATCTAAATTTATCCAATTTAAATCCATTATTTCTGGTTCTTACCTGGTTCGACACCCTCAGTACTTTATTTATATCACCTTTGTTTATGCCCGTCATCCACTTATACACTTGAATGATATCTTCCCTCATTCTACGTCTCTCAAGAGAGTGGAGATTTAAGGCTTTAAGTCTATCTTCATACGGGAGATTCCTTACACAGTAAATCATTTTAGTCATTCTTCTCTGTATGTTCTCTAATGAGTCTATATCCATCCTGTAGTAAAGGGACCAAAACTGAGCAGCATAATCTAAATGAGGCCTCACTAGTGATGTATAGAGCTGTAAAATAAGTTTTGGACTTCTGTTACTTATACTTCTTGAGATAAATCCAAGTAATCTGTTAGCCTTGTTCCGCACACTAATGCACTGCTGTCTTGGCTTTAGATTTCTGCTTACCATGACTCCCAAGTCTTTTTCACATTCTGTATGACCAAGCTCTACTTCACCTAGATTATAGCTTCGAGGGTTATTTTCATTACCAAGGACTAGTACCTTACACTTATCCACATTGAACTTCATCTGCAATTTTTCAGACCAAGACATTAATTTGTCCAAATCCTCCTGGAGTTCATTGCTATCCTCCTCAGAGTGAATTATACGGCCTAACTTTGTATCATCACTCGTAATCCCTTCATCAAGGTCATTAATGTAAATTGTGAACAAGAGAGGGCTGCTTACATCTCTTGGCACTCTTCAAGGTGGCTGCTTTGATTGTGCTCAATGACTTTCTTATATTTTTCCTGTGCTATATGACAATATGACGACAATACGATGCTCTACCACGGTTCGAGCCCCTCGTCCACCCTTCTGTTTATCCAATGACAGTCGTTTATTACAACTTAATTTGAGTTCATATCACAATATGATTAGTAATACACATGTGCAACAAAGCAATATTAATAATAATAATAATAATGATTTTTATTATTATTATCACACTGGCCGATTCCCACCAAGGCAGGGTGGCCCGAAAAAGAAAAACTTTCACCATCATTCATTCCATCACTGTCTTGCCAGAAGGGTGCTTTACACTACAGTTTTTAAACTGCAACATTAACACCCCTCCTTCAGAGTGCAGGCACTGTACTTCCCATCTCCAGGACTCAAGTCCGGCCTGCCGGTTTCCCTGAACCCCTTCATAAATGTTACTTTGCTCACACTGCAACAGCACGTCAAGTATTAAAAACCATTTGTCTCCATTCACTCCTATCAAACACGCTCACGCATGCCTGCTGGAAGTCCAAGCCCCTTGCACACAAAACCTCCTTTACCCCCTCCCTCCAACCTTTCCTAGGCCGACCCCTACCCCGCCTTCCTTCCACTACAGACTGATACACTCTTGAAGTCACTCTGTTTCGCTCCATTCTCTCTACATGTCCGAACCACCTCAACAACCCTTCCTCAGCCCTCTGGACAACAGTTTTGGTAATCCCAGACCTCCTCCTAACTTCCAAACTACGAATTCTCTGCATTATATTCACACCACACATTGCCCTCAGACATGACATCTCCACTGCCTCCAGCCTTCTCCTCGCTGCAACATTTATCACCCATGCTTCACACCCATATAAGAGCATTGGTAAAACTATACTCTCATACATTCCCCTCTTTGCCTCCAAGGACAAAGTTCTTTATCTCCACAGACTCCTAAGTGCACCACTCACCCTTTTCCCCTCACCAGTTCTATGATTCACCTCATCTTTCATAGACCCATCCGCTGACACGTCCACTCCCAAATATCTGAATACATTCACCTCCTCCATACTCTCTCCCTCCAATCTGATATCCAATCTTTCATCACCTAATCTTTTTGTTATCCTCATAAACTTACTCTTTCCTGTATTCACTTTTAATTTTCTTCTTTTGCACACCCTACCAAATTCATCCACCAATCTCTGCAACTTCTCTTCAGAATCTCCCAAGAGCACAGTGTCATCAGCAAAGAGCAACTGTGACAACTCCCACTTTATGTGTGATTCTTTATCTTTTAACTCTACGCCTCTTGCCAAGACCCTCGCATTTACTTCTCTTACAACCCCATCTATAAATATATTAAACAACCACGGTGGCATCACACATCCTTGTCTAAGGCCTACTTTTACTGGGAAATAATTTCCCTCTTTCCTACATACTCTAACTTGAGCCTCACTATCCTCGTAAAAACTCTTCACTGCTTTCAGTAACGTACCTCCTACACCATACACCTGCAACATCTGCCACATTGCCCCCCTATCCACCCTGTCATACGCCTTTTCCAAATCCATAAATGCCACAAAGACCTCTTTAGCCTTATCTAAATACTGTTCACTTATATGTTTCACTGTAAACACCTGGTTCACACACCCCCTACCTTTCCTAAAGCCTCCTTGTTCATCTGCTATCCTATTCTCAGTCTTACTCTTAATTCTTTCAATAATAACTCTACCATACACTTTACCAAGTATACTCAACAGACTTCTCCCCCTATAATTTTTGCACTCTCTTTTGTCCCCTTTGCCTTTATACAAAGGAACTATGCATGCTCTCTGCCAATCCCTAGGTACCTTACCCTCTTCCATACATTTATTAAATAATTGCACCAACCACTCCAAAACTATATCCCCACCTGCTTTTAACATTTCTATCTTTATCCCATCAATCCCAGCTGCCTTACCCCCTTTCATTTTACCTACTGCCTCACGAACTTTTCCCACACTCACAACTGGCTCTTCCTCACTCCTACAAGATGTTATTCCTCCTTGCCCTATACACGAAATCACAGCTTCCCTATCTTCATCAACATTTAACAATTCCTCAAAATATTCCCTCCATCTTCCAATACCTCTAACTCTCCATTTAATAACTCTCCTCTCCTATTTTTAACTGACAAATCCATTTGTTCTTTAGGCTTCCTTAACTTGTTAATCTCACTCCAAAACTTTTTCTTATTTTCAACAAAATTTGTTGATAAAATCTCACCCACTCTCTCATTTGCTTTCTTTTTACATTGCTTCACCACTCTCTTAACCTCTCTCTTTTTCTCCATATACTCTTCCCTCCTTGCATCACTTCTACTTTGTAAAAACTTCTCATATGCTAACTTTTTCTCCCTTACTACTCTCTTTACATCATCATTCCACCAATTGCTCCTCTTCCCTCCTGCACCCACTTTCCTGTAACCACAAACTTCTGCTGAACACTCTAACATTACATTTTTAAACCTACCCCATACATCTTCGACCCCATTGCCTATGCTCTCATTAGCTCATCTATCCTCCAATAGCTGTTTATATCTTACCCTAACTGCCTCCTCTTTTAGTTTATAAACCTTCACCTCTCTCTTCCCTGATGCTTCTATTCTCCTTGTATCCCATCTACCTTTTACTCTCAGTGTAGCTACAACTAGAAAGTGATCTGATATATCTGTGGCCCCTCTATAAACATGTACATCCTGAAGTCTACTCAACAGTCTTCTATCTACCAATACATAATCCAACAAACTACTGTCATTTTGCCCTACATCATATCTTGTATACTTATTTATGATGTGAACATGATAACTTGAAAGGATTCAGAGTACCCTGTTAGCCGGACTTTAGTCCTGGAGGTGGGAAGTACAGTGCCTGTACTCTGATGGATGAGTGGTGGTGGTGGGAAGTACAGTGCCTGTACTCTGAAGGATGGCAGGGATGTCACAGTTAGGATGGTCTTGTCAACTGTGATGTCAGCAAACTTTTGAAAGACAGTGATTGCATGAATGGTGGTGAGTTTGTTTCTTCTGTTGGCTCGTCCTACCTCAGTGGGAGATAGCCAGTGTAGTAACCTCAGTGGGAGATAGCCAGTGTAGTAACCTCAGTGGGAGATAGCCAGTGTAGTAACCTCAGTGGGAGATAGCCAGTGTAGTAACCTCAGTGGGAGATAGCCAGTGTAGTAACCTCAGTGGGAGATAGCCAGTGTAGTAACCTCAGTGGGAGATAGCCAGTGTAGTAACCTCAGTGGGAGATAGCCAGTGTAGTAACCTCAGTGGGAGATAGCCAGTGTAGTAACCTCAGTGGGAGATAGCCAGTGTAGTAACCTCAGTGGGAGATAGCCAGTGTATTAAGCAGTAATTAGTTTATCGTGCACACAGATACGAGCCGCCATGGTTGCGTTCATTTCTTAAGTCCGCCATATAACACACAAATTTAAATGTTTGTTTTTTCTTTTTCTTTGATAGGTGGAAGAAAAATATCCAGAATTCCTGAGTGAAGACTGGAAGTTTGAACTTCGGGTTCGGTATATCCTCTCCGACCTCCACCAGCTCTATGAGAAGGACCGTGACACCTTCTGCTACTATTATGAACAGGTAACTGACTTTCTCGAAGATTAAGATTTTAGATTTTGCTGCTGAAGTGGCTAGTTTATTGTGAGCCACATATCCATCCTGTGGGTGGTAGTGGCTAGTTTATTGTGAGCCACATATCCATCCTGTGGATGTAGTGCAAGAAGATATGGATACACAAAAGGCCTAGGAACTAGGTCCCAAAAGGAGTACATCTGGATTTATATCTACAGTTACAAGCAGATTTATGAAATTTGCTTATTATGTCTGGTATCTTATTTTCATTAACCCTTCAACTGTCCAAACATAGATCTACATTCACTAGTGTAGCGCTCCGAACGTAGATCTACATTCGATTTTATGTGCTTTCTTATGTAAAAAAAAAAGCAGATCTACATTTGGAGCGCTACCAGCGTTATAGAGGAACAAGAACCACACAACCAGAGTCAACTTGGGTTGAGTGAAGGAAGATATTATCTCTCACAGTTAATATCCATTATGACAAAATTATGGAGGTTGTATAAGAAAAACGAAACATAGATATAATCTTCATGGATTTTGGAAGGGTATTTGACCATTGTCACCATTGAGTAATGTCTCTTAAAAGGCCAATAGGCATAGCAAGAAAAGGAAATAGATATTCACTGTTTTGATAAACAGATTACAGGTAAACAAAAAGTCCCGAAGTGTAATTGTGTACCCCAAGGTGCAGTGTTGGCACCTTCAGTCTTTGAAGAATTGAGACACTTATGCAACACATGGGAATCTTTATTGAAGAAATGTTTCGCCACACAGTGGCTTCATCAGTCCAATATAAAGTTGAAATCGGTAAGGAGAGGAGAAGTTTGAGGTAATTAGTCCCTCAATCTGGAATCGATTCCAGGTTGAAGGACTGATTACCTCAAACTTCTCCTCTCCTTACCCATTTCTACTTTGTATTGGACTGATGAAGCCACTGTGTGGCGAAACGTTTCTTCAATAAAGATTCCCATGTGTTGCATAAGTGTCTCAATTCTTCAACTTGTCGGTTTTCAAAACCATTCATCAAACCTTCACTCTTTCTCATCTTCATAACAGACATTGATCACAACACTAACCACAACTTCGTATCATCATTTATGCGATACCAAAATAAGTATGGAAGTCATCTCGATAGAAGACATCAAGTACAGTGGAACCTCAAATATCGAACTTTCTTCGATCCAGACGGCTGTTCGAGTGCCTTTACCGAATGAATTTATTCCCATCAGGAATAATGTAAATTAGATTAGTCCATTTCAGACCCTCAAAAATACACTTATAAAAGCACTTACAAAAATACACTTACATAATTGGTTGTGTTGGGAGCAGTTCGATTTTTGAGGTTCCACTGTAATTACGAACATATGTCAAAAAATCTTCAAATAGGTATTGAAAATAACGTGATATTCAGTGGTGACAAATTTCAGCTGCTGGGGTATGGAAACAATGAAGAACTCAGAATGAGAGAACACAGACAGACCACATCACCGAACATAAAGAAATGTCAAAGATTTCTTCTTCTTGCAATGAACTGGCTGTATCCCACTGAGGCAGGGGGACCTAAAAAGAAAAAAAGTTTTTTCTTGTAAATTTAGTAATTTTTACAGAAGAGGTTACTTGCCCCTTGCTCCCGGCATGTTAGTCACCTCGTATGACACACGTGGCTTAGGGAGGAAGAATTCTGTTCCACTTCCCGTGGAGATAAGAGGAAATAAACAAGAACAAGAACTAGAAAGAAAATAGAAAAACACCCAGAGTGGTGTGTATATATATGCTTGTACATGTATGTGTAGTGTGACCTAAGTGTAAGTAGAAGTAGCAAGACGTACCTGAAACCTTGCATGTTTATGAGACAGAAAAAGACACCAGCAATCCTACTATTATGTGAAACAATTATAGGACAATAGTACCTCCCTGTGCGGTTGCTGTTTACCAACCTACATAGGATGTCAAAGATGTATGTGACATTAATATACTTCTGTCACAACTGTGTGAATTTCACAGCCTGGTTGACCAGGCAAGCACCAGATGAGCTTGGCCCATGGATGGGCTCTAAGAGTAGAAATACTCTCAAAACTATTCAAAGGTATATCAAAGGCAAAAGACTGAGGAATAATTATGTCAGAAGATCGGTCATTATCCATCTGACAGTGGATAATGAAAATCTTCAAAACAAGAGTGGCAACATTGGTGCTCCTGCAACTTGACAATATTCTGGTTTGTGTTCACAGTGCCTATCTAGGCAGGAGATATAACAGAGGTAGCAAATGTACAATAAGAGAATACAGTGGACCCCCGATTTACGATATTATTTCATTCCAGAAGTATGTTCAGGTGCCAGTACTGAACGAATTTGTTCCCATAAGGAATATTGTGAATTAGATTAGTTCATTTCAGACCCCCAAACATACACATACAAATGCACCTACATAAATACACTTACATAATTGGTCGCATTGGGAGGTGATCATAAACCGGGGGTCCACTGTACTACCCACATAAACTATTGGAAACACTTCAAAGAACAGAGAAGAGAGAGATATCTGATACTATATATGTATGTGGAAGATACTTGAGGGACTCCTCCCTTACCTGCATACTGCAGTAACTTGTTACTGCAGTATGCAGGTAAGAGAAGAGCAACAAGTTACTGCAGTGTGAGGTATGGGAGGAAGTGTGGGATAAACCCATTGAGGAGCAGGGAGGCCATGGGTACAGTAAGAGAACTGTCATATCCACGCTTCAAGACACTTTAACATATTACCAGCAGGTACCAGAAATATTACTGGAACAGAGTAGTTTATAATTAAAAGGCAGAGAGCTTCCTGCAACAGGTGCTGGATAAGTCTTGTCTCAAGCTGTGTAAAACTGGTCACAGATTACAGTGCCACCCACAACAGTTGACTAACACCCAGCAGATGCAAGGTGACTTGCCCATGTCTTGCCCTACCCAGGATGCAGAGCCACAACCATCCACTTGTGTCATGACTGTTACGACAACGACGGTGGTGATGGCGACGACTTTATTTTCCAAGAACATACATTTTTGTTACAGAGATTGACTTACAATATATTGTTCTTGCATGAAAAAGCACAAAGTTATGCAAAGAATTTTGGGCAGTAGAGGCAGACAGATGTTGGGGCATAATAATATTCAGAACCCCAACGGAAATAAGTCACTTTGACTTTTTTGGGTTATCCTGGTGGGTAATTTACACTATGTATGATAATTATACTTACGTGTATCTGTGTCTAAACTTACTCATTGCGGTTTTTGATCCTCAGGTTAAGAACGACTACCTGGAAGACGAGAGTCGAGCCAACGAAGGGATCGACCAGGATATTGCCACTCAGCTCGCTTGTATAGAAATCAAGCGACTGTTTAAGGTGCGTTCATGTCTGTTCTTGTTTGTCCATAATGTATGTCCAGTTGGTTGATTGGCCGGTGTTTAGAATTGCTAACACCCATAGTTATATAGTTGCTAACACCCATAGTTATATAGATGCTCACACCCATAGTTATATAGTTGCTCACACCCATAGTTATATAGTTGCTCATACCCATAGTTATTTAGTTGCTCACACCCATAGTTATATAGTTGCTCATACCCATAGTTATATAGTTGCTAACACCCATAGTTATATAGTTGCTCACACCCATAGTTATATAGTTGCTCACACCCATAGTTATATAGTTGCTCATACCCATACTTATTTAGTTGCTCACACCCATAGTTATATAGTTGCTCATACCCATAGTTATATAATTGCTCATACCCATAGTTATATAGTTGCTCACACCCATAGTTATATAGTTGCTCATACCCATAGTTATTTAGTTGCTCACACCCATAGTTATATAGTTGCTCATACCCATAGTTATATAATTGCTCATACCCATAGTTATATAGTTGCTCACACCCATAGTTATATAGTTGCTCATATCCATAGTTATTTAGTTGCTCACACCCATAGTTATATAGTTGCTCATACCCATAGTTATATAGTTGCTCATACCCATAGTTATTTAGTTGCTCACACCCATAGTTATATAGTTGCTCATACCTATAGTTATATAGTTGCTCATACCCATAGTTATATAGTTGCTCATACCCATAGTTATTTAGTTGCTCACACCCATAGTTATATAGTTGCTCATACCCATAGTTATATAGTTGCTCATACCCATAGTTATTTAGTTGCTCATACCCATAGTTATATAGTTGCTCATACCCATAGTTATTTAGTTGCTCATACCCATAGTTATATAGTTGCTCATACCCATAGTTATATAGTTGCTCATACCCATAGTTATATAGTTGGTCACACCCATAGTTATTTAGTTGCTCACACCCATAGTTATATAGTTGCTCATACCCATAGTTATTTAGTTGCTCATACCCATAGTTATATAGTTGCTCATACCCATAGTTATATAGTTGCTTATACCCATAGTTATATAGTTGCTCACACCCATAGTTATTTAGTTGCTCACACCCATAGTTATATAGTTGCTCATACCCATAGTTATATAGTTGCTCACACCCATAGTTATATAGTTGCTCATACCCATAGTTATATAGTTGCTCACACCCATAGTTATTTAGTTGCTCACACCCATAGTTATATAGTTGCTCATACCCATAGTTATATAGTTGCTCATACCCATAGTTATTTAGTTGCTCACACCCATAGTTATATAGTTGCTCATACCCATAGTTGTTTAGTTGCTCATACCCATAGTTATATAGTTGCTCATACCCATGGTTATTTAGTTGCTCATACCCATAGTTATATAGTTGCTCATACCCATAGTTATATAGTTGCTCATACCCATAGTTATATAGTTGCTCATACCCATAGTTATATAGTTGCTCATACCCATAGTTATTTAGTTGCTCACACCCATAGTTATATAGTTGCTCATACCCATAGTTATATAGTTGCTCATACCCATAGTTATATAGTTGCTCATACCCATAGTTATATAGTTGCTCACACCCATAATTATTTAGTTGCTCACACCCATAGTTATATAGTTGCTCACACCCATAGTTATATAGTTGCTCACACCCATAGTTATATAGTTGCTCACACCCATAGTTATATAGTTGCTCACACCCATAGTTATATAGTTGCTCACACCCATAGTTATATAGTTGCTCACACCCACAGCTAAAGCTGTTTCTTGCAGTTAAAGCTTCAGTCTGGTTTCTCTTCTGTCAATCTTTATAATTATTATTATTATTATTATTATTATTATTATTATTATTATTTATTTATTATTATTATTATGTCTTCTAAACAAATTGAAATTAGTCATTGATATAATAAACTTAGTGTAATAAACTCTGAACATGACTCCGTCCCTGTTGCCGTCCCTACCTTACAAAAACAAATATTTAGAGAAAAACGCTGCTAAAAGTAGGTAGTGACTTATTAAATAGTACAGGAGAGCCCCACTTTACAGCACTTCGCTTTGCGGTGTTTTGCTAATACAGTGGACCCCCGCTTAACGATCACCTCCAAATGCGACCAATTATGTAAGTGTATTTATGTAAGTGCGTTTGTACGTGTATGTTTGGGGGTCTGAAATGGACTAATCTACTTCACAATATTCCTTATGGGAAAAAATTCGGTCAGTACTGGCACCTGAACATACTACTGGAATGAAAAAAGTTCGTTAACCGGGGGTCCACTGTACAGCGGTTTTCAGTTCTAGCAATTCTTCATTTATAGGCTAAGGATGAAAATATTTTAAGGTAAGTAATGTGTGTATTGTATATGCATGTTTTAGGCCTAGCTCTGTTGCTCGCTTAATATATGATAATGTAAATATGTTATCAAGCTTTTATATGCATTTGAAATTAGAAAAAAAAAAGGGCCGTGTTTCATTTTACAGCAGTAACCTGGTACTTAACCTGCTGTATAAGTGGGGCCCTCCTGTACAACAGTAGCAAAGAACCTAACCTGCTGTATAAGTGGGGCCCTCCTGTACAACAGTAGCAAAGAACCTAACCTGCTGTATAAGTGGGGCCCTCCTGTACAACAGTAGCAAAGAACCTAACCTGCTGTATAAGTGGGGCCCTCCTGTACAACAGTAGCAAAGAACCTAACCTGCTGTATAAGTGGGGCCCTCCTGTACAACAGTAGCAAAGAACCTAACCTGCTGTATAAGTGGGGCCCTCCTGTACAACAGTAGCAAAGAACCTAACCTGCTGTATAAGTGGGGCCCTCCTGTACAACAGTAGCAAAGAACCTAACCTGCTGTATAAGTGGGGCCCTCCTGTACAACAGTAGCAAAGAACCTAACCTGCTGTATAAGTGGGGCCCTCCTGTACAACAGTAGCAAAGAACCTAACCTGCTGTATAAGTGGGGCCCTCCTGTACAACAGTAGCAAAGAACCTAACCTGCTGTATAAGTGGGGCCCTCCTGTACAACAGTAGCAAAGAACCTAACCTGCTGTATAAGTGGGGCCCTATTGTATACACATAAATGAAGCGTTTCGTATTTAATTACTGTTGGTGTTGTTGTGTTGGTGTACAGGACGTGTCTAGCAGCACCCTGGAGAAGAAGTCCAACTTTGAGTACCTGGAGAAGGAAGTCGGCTTCCACAAGTTCCTGCCATCGTCGGTGCTCAACTCCATGAAGGCCAAAACCTTGCGCAAGGCTCTGCAGACACACATCAAGAAGTACGGTCAACTCTCCGAGTCGGAGTGTTACTTTAAGTTCCTGGAGTTGTTAAGCAAGGTCAGGAAGTATGACCAGGAGTCGTTCCGCTGTGCGCTTGGGGTGAGTCCTCTTCTCTGTCTCTTGTCTCTTGGTATTTACACAAAGAACAATAAGAGCACATTACCGTGACTGGAACAATACACAAGTAACCCGCACACAGGAGACGAAGCTTATGATGATGTTTTGGTCCATCTTGGACCATTTACAAGTCTCTCTCCTATTTTACATAAATAATCCATATATATATGAGAAAGAAACTTCAGACGTTCTTGTTTGTCTTGAACCATTAACTAGTCACACTGTGTGGTTACACACTACTCACACACACAGTGTGTGGTTACGCACACACTGTGTGGTTACACACACACTAGTCTCACTGTGTGTGGTTAGGCACACACACTGGTCACACACACTGGTCACACACACACACACACACACACACACACACACACACACACACACACACACACACACACACACACACTGGTCACACACACACACACACACTGGTCACACACACTGTGTGGTTACACACACACACACACTGGTCACACACACACTGTGTGGTTACACACACACACTGGTCACACACACACACTGGTCACACACGCTGTGTGGTTACACACATGCACTGGTCACACATGCTGTGTGGTTACACACATACACTGGTCACACACGCTGTGTGGTTACACACATGCACTGGTCACACATGCTGTGTGGTTACACACATGCACTGGTCACACACACTGTGTGGTCACACATGCTGTGTGGTTACACATGCACTGGTCACACACGCTGTGTGGTTACACACACACACTAGTGACACACTGTGTGACTAGTTACAATAGTGAAACAGTGTGTGTCTAGTTAATGGTCTAAGTTAGACTAAATATTCATCATAAGTATCATCTGCTATGTACAGGTTATTTGTATATTGTTCCTGTCATGGTGTTGTGACTTCTATTTTCTTTATTCTTCTTTGTTTTCCCAGGGACTTGAAATTCCCTTTCTTCTTTCTCTTTCATAAGTAATTACCTCTCATTCTCCAGGTTATGTACAGCCTCTCCTCACTTAGTGATGTACTCATTTACTGACGACTTGGACTTACGACTGGCTCTCAGTCCAGTATGCTAATTTCCTGTATTCTGTTTATTACAGTATACAGTATACTACTGTATAAACACTCAAAAATATACCAGAAATGTTATAAATGATACAAAGATGACATTAAAACAATATCAGAGATGGTTGACACAAACCCACTACCACTGTAGTATGCTCCTCACTTAGTGACGAATTCGTTTACTGACAGGGTCTTAGGAACAGAACTCCGTTGTTAAATGAGGAGAGGCTGTATTTACCTTTCAGGCTAATTGCCTCCTTATGAATATAGTAATTATAGCAATAATATAGCCGGACTTGAGTCCTGAATCTGGGAAGTACAGTGCCTGCACTCTGAAGGAGGAGTTACAGATATTTGCTGTTTAGAGGGACATATGTACTGTTATGTCTGTATATCTCTGGCAGAACAGTGATGGTGTGAATGATGGTGAAAGTGTTTCTTTTTTGGGTCACTCTGCCTTGGTGGAAGACGGTGGTGTGTTATATATGATAATAATAATAATGTACTCCGTAAGCCATGCATGTCGTAAGAGGCGACTAAAATGCCGGGAGCAAGGGGGCTAGTAACCCCTTCTCCTGTATATATTACTAAATTGAAAAGGAGAAACTTTCATTTTTCCTTTTGGGCCGCCCCGCCTCGGTGGGATACGGCTGGTGTGTTGAAAGATAGAATAATAATAATAATAATAATATAGTAATTGTTTTATATTGATCTCCCACCAAGGTAGAGTCGAGGTTCGGTGACCAGAATAGAAAGAGAAAATGTGTTTGCCACCTGGAAGATACTAGCTATTGAATGAGTGATGGTGAATGTATTTCTTTTGTTGGGTCACCATGGTAAGAAATGTGCGTAAAAAATAAATAAATGATGCAGTTCGACAATGCACATCAACTTACTAACACTGAGGTATATTTTACAGTCTGGCTGGTCGATACCTGTGACCCTGGTGGTGGGACCATCAGTGGGCATCTCTTATGTGACAGACTCGGCCAGCAAGGTGAGTCTTACTGCCTCTTACTCAGCCAGTAAGGTGAGTCTTATTGCCTCTTACTCAGCCAGTAAGGTGAGTCTTATTGCCTCTTACTCAGCCAGCAAGGTGAGTCTTACTGCCTCTTACTCAGCCAGTAAGGTGAGTCTTACTGCCTCTTACTCAGCCAGTAAGGTGAGTCTTATTGCCTCTTACTCAGCCAGTAAGGTGAGTCTTACTGCCTCTTACTCAGCCAGTAAGGTGAGTCTTATTGCCTCTTACTCAGCCAGTAGGTGAGTCTTACTGCCTCTTACTCAGCCAGTAAGGTGAGTCTTACTGCCTCTTACTCAGCCAGTAAGGTGAGTCTTACTACCTCTTACTCAGCTAGTAAGGTGAGTCTTACTGCCTCTTACTCAGCCAGTAAGGTGAGTCTTACTGCCTCTTACTCAGCCAGTAAGGTGAGTCTTACTGCCTCTTACTTATCACTGTCTTGTTACTCAACTAATACAGTAACCAACGACTTTCTTGCCTCTGGGGTAAAGGTCACCTGGATTTTCAACATCGTATTGTCATGTTTTGTTGTGTCTGTTTTACATTCAACTCGTTCATATTATCAGTTTAGTTGCTGGATTGAACAAAATGGCTGGATAATGTTGCAAGTTGAATAAGCAACCACCAGATAATTGATGATTTACTATATAAGTCAAATTTTTTTATTACTGATACAAGATATGTGTGTTCAGTCTATCAGGATTGATGAGCTGGACACATTGACTATCCTGAGGGACTGATTACCTCAGACTCCTCCTCATCTTCCAACTTTCTCAGATTTAGACTGAAGAAGCCACTGTGTGGTGAAATGTTTCCACAGTAAAGATACTTAAGGGAAGGTACAACATGAGCAGCGAGCGAGTGAAAAAAAATAGAAAAATTATGGAAATTGAGTTAATCATATAGAAAAATAGCTTAACTCTTAAGCAACACTCTGGTACAAGAATCAATGTTCTACGACATTTCTACAAGGAATTATAGTCATTTATATCAGGTATGGTGATGGCGATGTGCGTAGCGCGTCTGCTCTCGGCCCGTATATTTTTTGGAATTTTTTCCTTGTTTTTTCTTGCTTTTTATTGCATTATTCTTTCTAATATAATAATCGACTATTTGGCATCATAAAAAAGTAGGCGGAGCTTATATGTAGACTTCCAGCCAATCAGGAACCATCAGGGAACACTGGCAGTGTTCCCACTCCAGAGAGAGGCAGGAGAAATCACTTCATTATTACGCTTATGTCAACTCTACGGCTTATTTATCTATCAGAATTGATCTAATATGATATAATAAACACTATAAATAACATACAAACATGTTATATACTCTAGACTGAATAAAATAAGCCATAATATGCCAAGAGTCCACCAACAATATTCGATATAATATTATTACTCCTGTCTCCATGTCGTATTCTTTGGTCTTTGATTAAGAGAAAACGGCGTTTTGAAGAGGACAACTGCAGTAGAACACCTGTTCACTAAGGAAACCACCGAAACAAACGGGATTTTCGCAAAAAAAAAAAAATGAGACGGTGGGCCGGCGTTCCAGGCCAATATCTCGGAAGTAACTTATTCACTTATTTCACTTTCCTACGCCTTTATTACTTAATTAAGTGGGATAATATTCACAGAAATTGTAAAATAATGATTGTTCTTAATTTTAGTGATGTACTTTTGGAAATATTTCAAATATTTTAGGATTTATGTGGGAGTAAAGGCAGATATTTTGCAAAAGTTTAAGAACTAACAAACTTTATTTTTTTGTGGAATAAAGATAAGATATTTAGAGGAAAGTGCGTCATGAAAAATTTCGTATTAGCATTGTTCTCTCGGCACCAAGTGCCCAAACAACCTTGCGTCGTCCCGTATAGGACTACGATCCTGCCAAAGGATATTTTCAGTAAATCGATTTTTCTCAGTTGTTGTATGGGATATCTTATTGACAAATATTTTTAGTAAATAGTGTAAATACATCGTCTTGTGCACCAACAATGAAAGAAATCTGACGGTAAAAAAAAAAAGTTGTTATACTGCCCCTTAAATGGTGCACAAGTGTCATATTTATCAACATGTTGATTTTGTAAACTATTTATTCACATATTACACAGGTTGGCGAACAAGACGTGCAACACCTGAGTGTCTTATAATAGTCAGGTGTTTCATGTGTCTTATTCATCAAGTCTCATATTGTGAGGTTTATTGTGTTTTGTGACGATGATGCAGCACTTCTCGCATCTTTTTTGTGGTTCTGAAACCATATACACCTACCATCGACTTACGACCACTCGACTTACGACCGTGTTTTTTATGCCAAATTTCTGGGAAATAAACAGTATTTGTGTTGTACACAGTGTTTATGCTAAACCTTACAGTATAAAACACAGTACTGACAACATAAAAAGTAAAGTAAAACATGAAATACCAAAATAAAACAATAAAATAAAGTCATTACAAAAATGTTTTGTTGATATTCAGTAGTAAAGTTCGACTTATGTCCATTTCACTTACGACCGGTTTCTCGGAACCGAACTCGGTCGTAAGTCAGATGGTAGGTGTATATTATTTAACATTGGAGTTGCCTGTAGTAAATTTTGTGAACTGGTAGAGAGTGACAATCCATGGAGGTACTCTGGCCTCTCAAATTACTGGTAGAGAGTAACCATCCATGGAGGTTCTTCTTGGCCTTATTAGATACCTGGTAAATACACAAAACTTGAAGTGCAGTAATCGGTTGAGATTCAAGATACTGTATCTCATGGTAAGAGCAAGATACTGGTTGAAAGATGGTAGATACCTGGTTAAAGACACAAGATACCTGGGTGAAGATGCAAGATACATGGGTGAAGATGCAAGATACATGGGTGAAGATGCAAGATACATGGGTGAAGATGCAAGATATCTGGGTGAAGATGCAAGATACATGGGTGAAGATGCAAGATACATACATGGGTGAAGATGCAAGATACATGGGTGAAGATGCAAGATACATGGGTGAAGATGCAAGATACAAGGGTATTTACCCTGACTTTTCTTCTTAACCTTTTGACTGTTTTGGTCGTATATATACGTCTTGCTGAGCCAGTGTTTTGGACGTATGTATACTCGGTAATTCTAGTGGCTTCAAATCAAGCAGGAGAAAGCTGGTAGGCCCACATGTGAGAGAATGGGTCTGTGTGGTCAGTGTGCACTGTATAAAAAAATCCTGCAGCACGCAGTGCATAATGAGAAAAAAAAACTCCGACCGTGTTTATGGATTAAAACACCAACTTTGAGATGTATTTTCATATAGTATTTATGGTTGTCGGGAGCAAGGGGCTAGTAACCCCTTCTCCTGTATAAATTACTAAATTTAAGAGAAACTTCCGTTTTTCCTTTTGGGACATCCTGCCTTGGTGGGATACGGCTGGTGTGTTGAAAGAAAGAAAGATTTATGGTTGTATTCTCGTTTTCTTGGTCTAATTTGATAGAATGGAAAACATATTACAGAAGTTTCATGACGAAAACGACCTTGAAATTGAGCTCAAAGTAGCGAAAATGTTCGATTTTTACCAATGTTCGAGAGTAAACAAATCACACCACATGTCCAATACAGTCAACTGGTGAGTCTAATATTCTTTCACTAGTGCACTGATATTATTTATACCATTTTTACAATAATGCAGTAGTCTGCATAACAGTAAATCTTCTATTTTTATGTGAATAAAAAATCAAAATAGAAAGCAATAGTAATATAAGAGGGGCCTAGAGATGTGACTAATAAACAGAGGATATGTTATTTTAGTGCCAAGAATGTCTACACTGTTTATTATGGGCCCTATTTTAAAATTGGCATTTTTTTAATTTGCATGAAATTGGCCAAATTGCCAATTTCTGACCACTTTATTGGGTAGTTGAAATTGGTAAATGGGCAGTTTCTTGTACTCAACTGATAGAAAAAATGAAGTTCTAAAGAAATAGCTATGAGTTTGGTTGACTGGAAAAATGGAATTGGCCGAAAATAGGGCTCAAAGTCGGCAAAATCGCCGATGCGTATCTATTGCTGAGATTGTAAACTTCACGGGAGCATAATTCCGTAAGTTTTCGATCAAATTTCGTACTTTTGATGTAATTGCCATTGGGAAAAGATTCTCTATCATTTCAGACTTTTTTTTTTTTTTTTTTCTCTAAAAAATTTTTCAACATAGAATGACAGTTTGAGAAAGAGGCTTGCGACAGTCAGAGGTTAATAATTCTTAATGTTGTAATATGTATTTCCTTTCCAATCCTAGAGGCCAGGTCTAAGACTGCGCCATGAGGCCAGGTCTAAGACTGGGCCATGAGGCCAGATCTAAGGCTGGACCATGAGGCCAGGTCTAAGGCTGGACCATGAGGCCAGGTCTAAGGCTGGACCATGAGGCCAGGTCTAAGGCTGGACCATGAGGCCAGGTCTAAGACTGGGTCATGAGGCCAGATCTAAGGCTGGACCATGAGGCCAGATCTAAGGCTGGACCATGAGGCCAGGTCTAAGACTGGGTCATGAGGCCAGATCTAAGGCTGGACCATGAGGCCAGATCTAAGGCTGGACCATGAGGCCAGGTCTAAGACTGGGTCATGAGGCCAGGTCTAAGACTGGGTCATGAGGCCAGGTCAAAGGGACTGGGTCATGAGGCCAGGTCTAAGACTGGGTCATGAGGCCAGGTTCTAAGACTGGGTCATGAGGCCAGGTCTAAGACTGGGTCATGAGGCCAGGTCTAAGACTGGGCCATGAGGCCAGGTCTAAGACTGGGTCATGAGGCCAGGTCTAAGACTGGGTCATGAGGCCGGATCTAAGGCTGGGCCATGAGGCCTGAATCTAAGGCTGGACCATGAGGCCAGGTCTAAGACTGGGTCATGAGGCCAGGTCTAAGACTGGGTCATGAGGCAGGGTCTAAGACTGGGTCATGAGGCAGGGTCTAAGACTGGGTCATGAGGCCGGGTCTAAGACTGGGTCATGAGGCC